ATGAGGTCCTACCTATGGAATCTCATTTTGCTTTATTCACCCCTTCAAGGACCCTGTCTCCAAATATAGCCACATTCCGAGGTACTAGGGGTTGGGCCTCCAACATTGGAATCTGAAGGAGACACAATTCAGCCCATCCCAGGAAGAAACTGAAAGAGGGGATTATTTCAATATTAGCCTTTTGCAATTGGCAGTGAAATTAGATGATTAAAGTAAAACTAGTCAGGAAGCAGTTGGAGATCCCAGAATTGATGTATTAAATGTACGTACTAAAACATTTTCATTGAAGCTGTGAGACTCCATGACTTCTCCAAGAGAGAGGGTATAGAGACAATAAATTTAAATGATGAAAGTTTTATTTAGCACGTAATACCGAGGTGCTGTGCTGAGCACTGTGCAATATGCAAAAATTAAATAAAAATGTTCCAGCTTCCTCTCAAAAAATGTACAATATAATAAATACACAGACACACACATAGCATAACATGAAAACGACCCCAAGAGAACAAATAAGGGCTCAGGGTGTTTTAAAGGAAGACGTCACACTGGATGGTGAAAAGGAAGGACCAGAAGGTCCAGGACTGAGGCTTAGCGACAGTCTGTTTCCATCATGAGTGATGATTTCCTCCAGGACTTGATGTTTTCCTTGGATGATGTGTGAGGACCAAGTGATTTAACCCAGGACTTCAGAATAGATCCTAAATCATTTCATATTGGCTTTGAGCAATGCCAGTGAAGGCTGGATCAGATTCAGGGCTTAAACTGCCCGAGACCATGCAGACACTCTGCTTTATTACTTTTCTCAACTCTAAGGAGAAACAGCTGCAGATCACTCATCACCATCTTTGTGAGAATTCATCTGGAAGCAATGTTCATGGCTCTCCTACCAGGCCAGGCAGCACGTCCGGAGTCCCATATCCGCCAGGAGCCCGGCCCCACCCCTCACTGCTTTCCCCACGATTCCCGCTCCTCCAGGTGGGTGTGTGGTGACTCCAGGAGACTCCCAGGACAATGATGTTTCAGGCTGGGAACATCCACAGTTCTACAGGCCAGTGTTCCAGTTTAGTTATCAGTCATTTTAGAAAACTTAGTGGAAATATGAGGGAGGTAAATACATGTTGATGGAGAGATGAGTGAGGGATTGAAATAAAAATGCTAATGTTGGGAAGAGCTGGGTGAAGGACGCGCCAGAACCCTTGCGCGGCCCTCAGAAATCATCTGTGACTCTAACACAATTTCACATTTTTAATTGTATTACTAAAAAGAATAGAAAGCAAGGATGTGTCCTGGAATTCATATTAAGGAAAACGGGAAAACATCACTTTATCTAAAAAATGATCACAGACATGTCCAAAGTTACGTACCAAATACACCAAAACAGACAGCGACTGTTATCTGTGTGGTCGGATTCAAGATTTTGCATTTCTCTTTCCACATTGCTCACTTTCAACTTTTCTCCAATGAGAATTTTTTAATTTCGTAAGAGAAAATATAAATATGAAAGAAATGAAGCCTTGCGAAAGCTCACCGTCTCACCCAGGACCTCCCCCCACCCCACCCCCACCCTCACCCCGCCATCTCCCTGGAGGAGATGAGGGCTGTCTCAGGGCAGAGGATGAGGGACCTCATGACAGCTGGGCTCTGCCTCCCTCTTCAGCTCATCTTCTGCTTCCTTGCTGGTCATCCTGAGCCACCCGCAGGCCCCAGCCCACCTCGTGTGTATAGCACGGTCTGCAGTGTGAATGCCCTTTCCCCATGCCTTCCCTTGATCAAGGACCCCTCCCTCGGGATTCAGCTCAGACCTTCCCTGACTCCCAGTCAGCTCCAGCTGCACATGGAAATGTCTCACCCACTTGTCGGCCAGCTCCCTGAGGACACAGCTCTGTGTCACTGTCCACTTTGGAGCTCAGCACAGGCCTGGCACTGAGTCCAGCCTCAAACATTTTTTTGAATGATGCTAATTTCATTCATCATATTCATTACTTCCCCTTGAGCCCACCCCATCTTCCCCTAAGTCCCTATGTGCGAAGAGAAATTTACCTCTGTCTAGTCATATAGTTCTCCAGAAAGGGGATGACTGCATCTTGCCTGGGGTAGGTGAATCCAACAGTCACAAATTCCTGGAAATTCTCCTAAGGGCACTGCAGTTACTCACCCACAAAAGGTTTCCGTGTTCAAAATGCTGACAGAAAGTTCTCCAGTATTTCCCTAAACTGTTTCCCTACAGCTTAAAAGCCAACTACTCTCTCTGGAAATTGCAGAGGAGAGAAGCGGAGATTAACTTTTCCTCCCAGACCTAGGGAATGCAGTTTCCAGAAGTTAGAGAGACAGAGAGAGAAAAAACCAGTCAAGGAAGCAGTAAGATTTTCCAGCCCTAACATGTGGTTTCCCCCATATAAAAATCTTTACAAGTTCCAGTCCTTCCTCTTTTCTTTTTTTTTTCTGTTTTGGAAGAGGGAAGTAATTAGGTTTATTTATTCGATGGAGGTACTGGGGATTGAACCCAGGACCTTGTACATGCTAAGCATGCCCTCTGCCACTGAGATATACCTCCCTAGTCAAGTTCTTCTTGAGACGGGACTTGAAAGAAGATTTTAAACCATTCTGGAAGCTAAAAGTCTAGTACTGTGGCTTCAGTGAGTTGGCGTTAGGTTTCACAGATGATAATTTAACCCTTCTGGGCAGCAGAACAAACGCGACAGGCAGTCACAACCGTCTGTACCGTCTGTTACCATCTGTAACCGTCTGTTACCGTCTGTAATGCATGTATCAGGCCCTGCCTGGGGACCCAGCACAGTCCCCCGCACGCACCTGGCAATAAAAGGGGCCTTCAGGTCTGACTCTTGGTTCACAATGAGGGCCTCCTCTTCCTACCCTAAATTCTGATACCCTTTCCCACCCACTTCATGGATCCTTTCCTGGCTGAAGACACTCCCTTATCTACAGCTCCGCTTCTCCCTGCAGTACCCTTCAAACCTTGGAGAACATAAAGAAAAAAATAACATAGGTACATTGTGTCCTATTTAATATTATATTGTATCCCTCAGGATGTCATGGATACTTATGTGATTTTGTTAATGAGACATTTTAGGACATGGCTCCTGTCAAAACATTAAAGTTACAAATTAGAATATAAAGAGTTGACTTTATAAAATATCTGTCAATACTAATAGCTTGCATTCAAAATAATACAAATGTGTGGAAAAACTGTCACAGTTTGCAGATGGTATGATATATACATAGAAAATCCTAAATTTGTTACCTAAAAACTCATCAATGAATTCAATAAAGTTGCATGATACAAAATTAATATACAGACATCTGTTGCATTTCTATATGCTAACAATGAATTATAAGGGAGAAATAAAGGAAACAATCCCATTTACAGTTGCATCCATTAGAATAAAATACCTGGGAATAAATCTAACTAAGGAGGTAAAAGACCTGTACTCAGAAAACTGACACTGATTAAAGAAATTGAAAATGACACAAACAGATGGAAAGATATACTGTGCTCATGGATTGGGAGAATAAATATTGAGAGAATAATAAAAATGACCATACAATCCAAGGCAATCTACAGATTCAATGCAATCCCTATCAAAATACAAATGGAATTTTTCACAGAACTAGAACAAATAATTCTAAAATTTGTATTGAAACACAGAAGTCCTCAAATAGCCAATACAATCATAAGAAAGAAGAACAAAAGTGGAGGTATCGTGTTCCCTGATTTCAAACCATACTACAAAGCTACAGTCATCAAAACAGTATGGTACTGGCACAAAAACAGACACACAGCTCAATGGAACAGACTAGAGAGCGCAGAAATGAACCCACACTTCTGTGGTTAATTAATCTATGACAAAGCAGGCAAGAATATACAATGGGCAAAAACAATCTTTTCAATAAATGATGTTGTAAAAACTGAACAGCTACATGCAAAAGATTCAAACTAGACTACTCTCTTACACCATATACAAAAATAAACTCAAAATGGATTAAAGACTTAAATGTAAGACCTGAAACCATAAAATTCTTAGAAGAAGACATAGGCAGTATGTTCTTTGATGTTGGTCTTAGTGATTTTTTTTGGATATGTCTCCTCTATCATGGGAAACAAAAACAGAAATAAACAAACGAACTACATCAAACCAAAAAGTTTCTACACAGTAGAGGAATATATCAACAAACAAAAAAGCAGCCTACTGAATGAGAGAAGATAGTTGCAAACCATATATCTGGTTTATTAACTTTTAAGAAGTTAATATCCAGCATATACAAAGATAACACATAACTCAACATCAAAAAAAAAATGGGCAGAGGACCTGAATAGACATTTTCCCACAGAAGACATATAGATGGCCAACAGACATGAAAAGATGCTCGACATCACTAATCATCAGGGAAATGCAAATCTAAATCTCAGTGAGATACCACCTCACACCTGTCAGAATGGCTATTATCAAAAAGACAAGAAATAACAAGTGTTGATGAGGATGTGGAGAAAAGGCACCTTGTACACTGTTGGTGGGAATGTAAATTGGTGCCACCACTATGGAAAACAGTATGGAGACTCCTCCAAAAATTAAAAATAGAGCCACCATATGATCCAGCAATGCCACTTCAGTCTATCTATCTTGAGAAAACAGAAACACTAATTTGAAAATATATATGCACCCCTATGTCCACTGCAGCATTATTTACAACAGCCAAGATATGGAAGCAACCAAGTGCCCATTAATAGATGAATGGATAAAGATGTGGCACATATATACAATGGGATATTACTCAGCCATAAAAAATAATGAAATCTTGCCAATTTGCAACAAGATGGGTGGACCTACAGGTACTATGCTAAGTGAAATAAGCCAAGCAGAGAAAGACAAATGCCATATGATTTCACCTATACGTGGAATCTAAAAACCAAACAAATGAACAAACGTAACTAAATAGAAACAGAATCATAGATACAGAGAACAAACAGGTGGTTGCCAGAAAGCAGGGAGCAGAGGAAAGGAGAGAAATCGTTGAGGGAGATTACGAGGTTCAACCTTCCAGTTGCAAAATAAATGAGTCATCCTTTTCAAAAAGGATGAAATGTACAGTGTGGGAAATATAGTCCATAATTATGTAATACACATAATTTTGTATGTTGACAGATGGTAACTTATCATAGTGATCATTTTGTAATGTACAGAAGTACCGAATCACTGTTGTGTAACAGGAACTAACATGGTGTTGTGAGTCAATTGCACTTCAAAAACAAACAAACTCATAGGAAAAGAGATGAGATTTGTGGTTACCAGAGGCAAAGGGTAGGGGGAGTGGGAATTGGAGGAAGGCAATCAAAGACACAAACTCCCAGTTATAAGATAAGTAAGTGTCAAGTACAACATGATAAATATAACCAACACTGCTGCATGTTATATACGAAAGTTGTCAGGAGAGCAGATCTCAGATTCTCACTGCATCTCATTCAATATTATATTTATATGAGGTGATGGATGTTCACTGAACCTATTATGGTCCTCATTTCGTGATGTATGTAAGTCAGATCATTATGCCATACATCTTAAATTGATACAGTCCTGCATGCCAATAAACTGGAAGAGAGAGAGAGAGAAAAATTAAAATGTCCTGAGGCAATGGTGCTGGGAGAGCAGACACAGGGTCAGCTAACCTTAGGTATCTGCTCCACAGGCAGAATCTTAAACCCACGCTAATGAACTACCTGATGCTGACTCAGTTCCCATCACGATTCTGCAAGATCACCAACTCTATTTCCAGGCAGCAGCTGACTCCCGACAGCCCCACAGCCTCTGGGTCCCCAGGGCCCCTTGCGTGTTCTACCCACACACTGAGCTGCAAATGTGTGAGTGCATACGTGGCTCTGCCCCATGGATCATGGGCTCTACAAAGCCAGGATGCGCTCCACCCTACCCCACCCCCAGCACCCAGCAAAATTCTGGGCAGTCTCTGAAATGGTCAGTACATATTTGCAAAATGAACAAATCTCCCTCCCCTTTTGGGTGCCTCGCTGGGACGTTCACACTCAAGCAGGTTGGACACAGAACAAATTGACCTGCGACACCTTGGCCCCATGAGGGTACATTTTTGGCTGTTTTGTCCTCTGCTGTGTCCTGGAACAGTGCAGAGCACATAAGTTAACAAATGTATGTCGAGTGTGAATCTGCTCCATTTGAAAGGGTGCCTTCTCATCTTTTCTGGTTCATCTGACTTTCCCAGCTCACGCTCTGACCTCACAGCATGCTTTTCTCTTCCTGACAGTTGCCACTATCCCTTTTTTAAAATACATATATGTATGTATGTATGTGTGTATATATATAGTGGCTCAGAGAGGGCGCTGTGCTGGGCTGGCAGCAACAGTGAGGAGGAACGCATTCAAGCTGCCATCTTTCCAGAACTCCAGCCCTCTGTACAAAACTCTGACATCTTCATGGCACCAAACTGGCAGTTCAAGTGTAGGACTAGAGAAAGCAAGTATCTGGATTGATTCAGGGCTGGGTTTGAGAGGGAAAAAAATTATTGTACAATTGTGCTTCAGGTAGTCTGAAACCATCCAGCAGTGATGTAACAGAGAAGAACAAACCTGACTCCATATTGGATCTGTTCCATTAATGCTAATCTTTGTGCTCAGCCATGCTGGTTCTGCACCTTTGTAAAGGAATGTTGCCTACAGCCTGAAATAGACAGGAGAGCCCATTTTCAAGGCTCTGCCACCCAAGCTTGACCTTTTAAAGTGTGAGAGTTTTCATTCACATAGAGATAAAAAAGTTGCAGAACAGGGAGTAACATTTGTCTTGCTGGAGGATTCCAGGAACATCATGATCGTATCAATGTGGAAAGCTGCAAGAATAAAGGATTACCACATCCCCTCCGGGGGCTGGCCAGCACCAAGAAGTTTGCAACAACAAGCCACACTCTGTCCCCTTTTCGTATAAAAGAAGCCTGAATTCTAACTCAGGCAAGATGGTTCTTTGGACACTAGTCCACCATCTTCTCAGTCTGCTGACTTTCTGAACAAAGTCGCTATTCCTTGCCTCAACACCTCGTCTCTCAATGTATCGGTCAGCCGAGGGGCAAGCAGCATGAACTTTGGACTCGGTAACAGTAACACTATCTGCTTTTACCTCTAGTCTTATTTTCTTGATTCCACAATTGGTATTTCATTCTGCTTGCCTTTTTCTCTTTTTCCTCCAAATCATTGCATATGGTAGAATTATTGATCCGTAGTTTATCCATTTTGGAGGTGACATTGAAAAACTATGTACAAATGAGGAAGAACAACTTCTTAACAGTGTTCGTAGCCAAAAGATAAAAAAACATAAATTGAAATCCTCATAAATGCCCCAGAACCTAGTGTAACAGAAGCTTAATAGAAAAAATATTGAACGAAATCCACTTCCACCAACAATGCTAACCTTGACTCTGAGGTAGCATTTTTTTCAACTTCTGTACATAGATATTTTTATATCACACAATATTTTAAAAGTCTTGGTGGTCCTCTCGATATACGAGATCTTCATATGAGCTCAAATCGAAGAATACCGTCTGCCTTGGGTTCTAAGGGTTAACATCTTTGTATCCTGCTAGAGGTCATGGAATTCTGTGCAGTAATTTGAGCACCACCTAGCGGGCCTGGAAGGAAACAGTAATAAAGCAGTTTCTTGAGACCGAGGCAGAGTTGACTGTAGACGCCTCCTCTCCCTGCTTCTGGGGACTGAGTGACAACCTACGTGATTCATAGAGCCTTCCACCCACCTCAACACTTTAACAACGTTCGTGGGGCTCTTCTAAATCCATCCCACTTAAACTGCAAAGCCAGAAACAAGAGCCGTCATCCTTCTAACGCCAAACAACACCCAGTAGACTAACAGGATGGTGCTTCTGCCCCTAATCCTGCAGCTCAGCGTTTCTCTTCCCAACAGGCTGTGTGTCTGTCACTTCCTTCCTGGGACACGGTTCCGTGTCATCTGTCCTTCTGCGTTTTCTACATCTGGACTTACCCCTGCAGCCTTTACTAATTTACAACCTTTTTTTGCTTGATTCTTTGGAATCCCCTCTGCTTCCCTAAGCTGATTCACACAGCATATTTCAGTCTAATTAAAAAGAGATGCTAATAAAGAATGCTTTCAACAACTCAGCAAACAAGTTTTATTAGGATCAAATCAAAGGTAATTCAAAAATATCAAAGGTAATTAAAAAATATTCAATGTCTATGAAAATTAATGAACTTAAATTCTCAATTTAAGAAATAATTCCTAAATTAAAGGAAGGAA